TTCTCTCTCTCTCTTCCTCCCCTCCTCTCTCTCTCTCTCACTCTCTCTCTCTCTTTCATCGTACTCGAAGGAAGGATATACGTACATACGTACAATTGGCATAGATGTGTAGCCGAGTATGGTTGCTCCGTATCAGGAGGTCTCGCGGGATCTATCGATCTTATTAGGGTTAAATCGAAGGTGCTTCTCGTTCTCCACGGTTGGATACGATAACGAACCCTGGCTGGAGCCATATACCGTCCACGTACGAAGGCCCTGGAGGCCGTTGCAAAACTTATGAATGGCTTCCGTTCGCGCTCCAGATAACGTAAATCTTCAGATACGTGAACACGCTGTTTCGATCTATTTTTGTATCTGCATCAAACAGCGCCGTTAATCGTTTGTATTTGTCTTAAGTCGATGCTCGATTTGAGGAAGAGTTGAAAATCTGCATATTAACTCGAAACAAAAAAAAAAAAAAAAAAAACAAGAAAGAATTACGAAAGATTAATCTAGAAATGTCCGCATATATAGAATTACAAAGCGAAAGAAATGTATTTTTTTCGCTGAGGAACGAAGAGTTGCGTTCGTGACGCCGAGACACTATCATTATATCTACATTGAGATAATCGTCTGTCAATTGCGCGCCTGTTAATTGCATAACTACCATGGTGCAGCTTCCGTTCCACCGGGCAAGAAAAAAACAACAGCGAAAGAGCGATGCCTCGAAGGCGTACAAAAACAAATCTCTCATTTGAAGACGTCTCATCATTCGAATGAAATCTCGCCTAACGACCTATTAATGACTCCGGTAATTATCATCCTTGTTCGCGATGTTATCATCTGCGATCCGTCGCACGAATCGAAACTTTTTCTCGGACTCGTTACTAGAGAATTAGAGGCTAACTGGAACGAGCGTTGGCAGATAGAGAACGACGTATTTAAAGGCGTCATTTAACGCCCAGCGTTATGGAAGATTCATTGTTCAAAATTCTATCGACGGCTGAAAAATAAAGACAAAGCGGTTGCTAATGATACTATAAGCGATGTGATGACACGAAATAATTAACGGCAGCTTTTGAGAATTTGAGGATCGATTAAAGCTAAGTATGCAATTAAGACACGCTACTCAGAACAATGTTTCGAGGAAAAACATTACGCCTTTAATTACAGACCTCACAGGAAAGAAGATACAATTATCATTACATAAAGTATAAATTATT